CTTATCTATTTAATATAGAAATCTTTGACTGATACTGACTTTCTGTTAACACTCTTAACAGTGTTAACACTAACAGTTGTGGATCAAATAATAACAAAAATGCACGTGTCGTCGTGTCGATGTCATGTACGATTTGATATTCTATGTTGTAACTTGTAGATACTAAACTAGGTAGTCGAATAAATTTAGTTAACTGCGTTTTTACGTATGATTACAAAAATTAAAAACAATAACACTAATATTACGGTATGGACACCACTATACCATCATCAGAATTCACGTTGATCGACACGCATGGGTTCAAGAAAAATAAAAAGGTAAAACGAGTTCTACCAGACTGGCTGGCCAAACCTACAGTTGTATCGGTCGATTTAAAACACCTAGAAGTTCCCATTGACGGCATTCCAGAATTGGATCCCGCTTTAGTTCAAAAACTTAAAAATAAAGGATGTACACATTTTTTCCCTGGTAATTTAAACCATATTCAAATTACAGCTTAGACTTARTCACATGTTGATCACAATACACGTTTATTGCAGTTCAAAATCAACTAGTACCATGGATAATTAAAACTCAAAAACATTGGGACTTCAGATGGCTCAGGGATATATGTATTTCAGCACCTACTGGCAGTGGAAAAACTCTCTCCTACGTTCTTCCTATAATACAGGTTTGGTGTACTTATTAAAAACAAAATTAATTTAGCTTGGTCAAAGATTCATATTTTTATATTATTTTAATTTGATTATCATAGACGTTAAAGTCATTCTCTAGACATCAACTCCGCGCTCTTATCGTATTGCCAACCAAAGACTTGGCTGTTCAAGTATTCAAAGTGTTTCTATATTACATTAAAAATGCATTTGATTTAAGGGTGCTTCTTTTGGAATCTAAAAACATGACTCTAGAAAAAGAAAAGGAAAGGATGTTGCAATATGGTATACAAATTTTAAATAACATTTACAAATTTATTATAATTACTATACCAATTTAATAATTATAGATATCAGCCTTGGATGGACAGATCTTGTTGATATCATCGTGACCACTCCAGGACGGTTAGTTGATCATTTGTATTACACTGAAGGATTTTCTCTGAAAAACCTTAGATTTCTTGTCTTGGATGAAGCTGACAGTTTTACTAATATATTACAAAATGAGTGGTTACATAAAGTTAATGATAGCTTAGGTATTTTACATAAATATTTATTTTTACTTTTTATTATACTAAATTACATTTATAAATATACTGAAACATTATGTTTGTTTAGCATATAGTGGGCCTACAATATGTACTTTAAACACATTAAGTGAGTCACCACAAAGAACACAGAGATTATTATTTTCAGCAACACTTACTCAAGATCCTGAAAAATTAAAGTTTCTTAAACTCTTTGAACCTAAATTATTTACTTCAATTATAAAAAGAAATAATTCTCAATTATCTACTGGTAATTTGAACTTAAACATTATGATTAAACTTAAAATAAAATTTAATTAATTTAAAATTATATTAGACACAACTGGCACCGATGAACCTGTACGAGGTGACTTTGTGGGAAAATACACAACACCCAAAGAACTCAAAGAATACATGGTGCTGTGTCCAGAAGAAAATAAACCTCTAACGCTGTATCATTTGATAAGAAGTAAAGGCCTAAGAAGGGTGATATGTTTTGTCAAATCAAAAATAGAAGTGCATCGTTTAACTAGACTTTTATGCAAACTCAGTGAATTTGATACAGATAATTCGCCAATAAGGGTTAATGAAATTTCTTCTGATATATCACAAAAAAATCATTCTGGTTATATTAGACAATTTTCAGATGGTAAAATTGATGTGTAAGTTCACATTATATTATTATTACTATTATTATTGTTTTTTTTTTATGTATATAAATTAATTTATTGTTGGTATATATTTTACAGATTAATTTGCACAGATTCATTAGCTCGAGGCATAGATATTGAAAGGATATCTTGCGTAATTTTATACAATGTACCAAAATATCCGAAAAACTATATACATCGAATTGGTAGAACAGCGCGTGCTGGTCATAAAGGGAAAGCTATTACATTTGTCACTCCAGAACATGTAATGTTATTATCATAATATTATAATTTCATTTTTATTACTTTTAAATTAATTTCTTTTTCAGAAAGAACTTTTTGAAAATGTTTTAAACTCTGCGGGTAAAACTAATATAAAAAATATGAAAGTCAACATTTCTGACTTGGAACAATATGAACAAATTTATATTGATGCATTAAAAGCTATTAAAACTGAATCAATTGTAAGTATAATTTTTCAAATTTGAATCAATCTYTCTAACTCCATTTAAATTTACCCACTTAACCAAAGAAAACCGCTTACTGCTCTGCAGCTTCCCTCAATAAAGTTATTGATTATGAGTTCTGGAATTGAATGTTGTAAAACTACACAGTGTATACACTATACATGATAAACTGTATTATTGACATTTTCTCGATACTGAGTGTGTATATGTTTTTCCTGCATTTATATGGTAATTGGTATTTTATTTTTTATTTTTATATTATTGATGCCTGAACTTAAGAACCATATGAGGAAACATTCTTTTGAGTCAAAAAATATTTTCAAAAATGATTTTATTTCTTTAATCGCTTGTATGAATGGCAGTAGGTGACCAATCACACAGCACTTGGCACAATCTCAGGGGGTTCTGGACGTTTTAGTACAAGGTTTGTCAACCCATGTAAAGCTCATAAAGTCATAAGTGGTATAGGTACAAATAACATCTCCCTTTATAAAAAAAAAAAATGAAATTGATTATTATTCACGTTACTTAAATATTATTTGATTGAATATAATAATATGAATAATATTCATGCATATTTTTATTTTATTGTTGCACATTAAATGCTTATATTATCATAACGTTATAATTAATTATAAAATAAAATTACATACTTGTAAAATAACCTACACATTTTTGATAAGAAAAAATAAAGTTATTTGGTTTTAATAGAACATGAATATTATCTAACTGTGTAGCTAGTATGGGGATATAAAAAAATTGTCAACTGTTATTCTAGAGAATCAGTCTGAATGTGTGAAAGTGCTTAAACTTAAATGGAGTTAGGGAGTAGAGTATATTTAGGTATATGATATTTTATTTTACACTAATTTGTTATTTGTAAACTAGCAAAAACCAAAAACTGTTGGTAAAAAAAGATTGAGGAGGAACAAACAACTCAAAAAGTAATATCACTTTTTTTTTATTATATAAACCTAGTATTTATGAATATAATATTTTACCAATATATTTTGTTTTTATATTATATTTTTTTCCTTTTTTCATTAGTCTAACAAGACAGTATAAATAATCAGGAAAAAGTAATTAACAAGTGCAATTTTACTAATTGCAATATATTAACTGATATACATTCTAATATTTATTTTATGGATAAACAGATTACATACTACTTTTAGGATTAAGTAGAATATACATCTTTTTCAACTTTAGTGTATATCTATATGAAAACTATTGAATTAAAACTTACAATGAGACGATGTAAGACACAAATTAATTCTTAAAAATTAAAATACAATTTTTTCATCGCTTGATTGAATGATGATCTCTTATATTTCCTAAAAAGTGATGATTTCAAATTTCAAATTTTCTTTTTTTAATGAATAGCTTGGTTGTCATCCTAATTTAGGTACTATTTTGTACTCTATTTGAATTTCAATAATTAATAATTTTAAATTATTACATGTGATATTGGATTTGGCCTTTGGGGTTGTATTGTATATTTAATTACAGTTACATGAATTTTACCAATAGTAATGTAATTTATTAGTTGTGATATAAAATTTTAATAATCATTAATCAAATAAAAATGTATAATTCAGAATGTTTTAATTAAAAGTTGTAAACATACACAAATGTTTATAGTTAATTAAAGTATTTTGAGTAATTCTTTAAATTTAAAATACAATGTTAATCATAGGCATAATTTGATGAGGGCAATAGTGTCTTTTGGGTAAAAAGCATAGAGATATTTATTTTTTACTACAGATTTCCCTTTCCAAGAATTTTACCTTACGCCTATGATGTTAATACAATATAATGTTTAGTAGTTTTCAATTCTGTGTTAAGCTATGTTTCCGCCCTGGGGCAAATTAAAATATGCCACCTTAATTTTTTATTTTATGTTGATCTTTCAACATTTACCGCTCCGATGCAATTCCCCTCCCCCTCTTTAAATGTTGCTCTGGTAGTATTGAAAACTAGTTAAAAATAATAATTATTTTCTTAAATGAACTTTACCAAATCTGACTCCATGACTCATATCTTTATTGCATATTTTCATTTTATTTTTAATTCTTGTTATCAAGCTATAGACACCACCAGATGTCATAAACTCATAACCCATAATACATTCAATTTATGTGTATCATTATATAATACCTAAGAGATTCCTAAATATATTATAAGTATGAGTGTATGAACCATCAAAGTTTATAACTATACTCAACAATCGCATAGAATACAAATTAATAATGACAATTGGACATAGGCGCAAATAGGGGGGATTAGGGAGTACTAGAATGCCCAATTTCAAAATTAGTACTCTCAAATAATGTTCATGTTTATGTATCAAAAACTTCTTATAAGCCTTAGTTTTTTTTTTATTAAAATTGTGCCAATGTAATTGGACATTAAATAAGGTTCTTAAAAAAATACACACATATAGAATATACTTAAATGTTTAATTATTTACTTTTCAGACAGAAATTTTGTTAGATATTCAACGTTATACAATTTAAAGAAATAAACTAATATCCTTAGATAAAATGTCCAAAAAAAATGTATCGATAATGACGATAACAAATTTGAATATAAGCCATTCAGCTACAACAAAATGAATGCAAAGTTAGTTTTATATCTAATTTCATAACAAATTGAATGTAATATAATAATAATAATAATAATAATAATAATAATTGGCACACTGATTTTGAGTTGATTTTAATAAAAATGTTAAAAGTGCCTTTATATAATATATAATATTATTACTCTACAAAGTTTATGCAAGAAACGCGTGACCCTGTCAGAAGGTGCACCTAAATTAGGTTGAGACCAAAWAAATTAGTAAAAATGTTCTTATCATTTTTAAACGATTAATTTATGTTCAGTCTTAATTCTATTATCACAAAAGACAAATAATGTTTTATATATAATATACTAAACGAAGTTAATAACAAGTTTGGTATAAAATTTAACAATTTACAACACCTTAAATAATGTACCTAATATAATGTTTTGTATTGTGCAAGTGTAAAGTCTACATATATTATTATAATTGTTATTACTATATGATTTAGGTATTTTACTATTAACACTGTCGAATAATAWATAGCTGACTATTGTATAAATTAATAAATGTATAATATTTATACAGTGCTTTTTTTAAGGGTGGGGGAATGGAGCCTCTAATTTTTAAAATTAAAAATATTACGATTACCCCTTTTGATTATATCATCTTAATCAATAGGACATTTAAATACTCAGATAATGTACATTTTTTTTTTTACACTTTATCATCCCCTTCCCAATTTGAGCACTGTATATACATATTATATTATAATAGGTGCGTCGATTTAGATATTATACAATATTACGAGAACAAAACGAAAACGAGACGAATGTGGTAGGGTATAGGCACAGTAGTACAATACATTTAGAAACGTCTAAGCAAAAAAAAAAACAGAGTCCCAAGTTTTCTTAAAATAATAATAATTATTATTATGTATATTAAAATTTAAAATCGTCGAGTTTGGTCTCTGGCGAAGAGAAAACTGCAAAGTTACCACATAATTTCCAAAGATTTCCAAGAGGGAATACTGCTTTGCCGTTTTTTTTTTTTGTTTGAACACGTAATTATTCAAAGTTTTACCACGTGCGAGTGTAACAGATATAACCGACAGTCGACGTTATCAACACTAACAATATCAGTTTACATTATCAGTTCTTTCTGCTACAGCGCATATAATAGGTAAGGGCGTGAGACCTATGCACACACATTTTGTATGTAAAGGGGTAAATGTGAATTACAGAAAAACAATTTAATTGAACCGTTTGCTTTGGGGGAGGGGGGGAGGGTCAGGTTATATATTACTATTATATATTTATGTAATATTATACCGAGTACGTATCAGTATATATATATATTTACAGAACGTGACGGGAAGAAACGCGCACGTCGAAAAACAACTCAGCTCGGTGACCCCCCCCCCTCCCGCTGCACAATTAAAGCAATGCAGTAAGCCATAACTGCGGGTGACGGTGTTTGAAACATGTCTAGTGCGGATCATACCATTTACTAGCAGCCAGCTGATCCGAATTTAAATAAATACTGAACATCATCGTTCAATCCGAATTATACGCGCCGCGACCACAGGACTGGGAATATAATATATACGAACGAAAAAAATCCGAAAAATCTGTTTGGAGATTTAAACGACAGACTGGTAATGTTTTGGATTTAAATTTCTACAGCAATAATATGCGATGGTGTAAATATTAATATTATTATTGAGAAATGAGAATACGATATGATCGAACTACAATCGTCGGAGATACTATATAAATATATATTTTGTCATTTTACGGTTAAATTTTGGCGATCCCGTCTCGAGAAAGATATCAAAAGTTAGTGTGTGTGTTCGAATATATATAATAGACTACTGTCCAGATCGAAWCAGAAACCCGGATTGTAATACTAATAATATTATGTAATACCATTTTTGAATCATCTCATCTATATACATACCTAGACTTCAATATTATGATATYAAAGGTAATATACCTATATACAACCCGCGGGTACACGCATTCCATTTTATATCTTTATATCATTGTCGAGGGATTGAAAGATGGTGTGGAAGGGTATTGTAACGCAAAGACGTGAGCCTACGAGAGAAAGATTATATCATTACCTATATTATACCGTCGTGTGATCCATTTAACGTTAGACACTCATTATATCTAAAACTATTGTTTTTTAAAAATTTTTTTCGATATATTATAAAAATTGAATTTTGGACGATTAGCTTATAATAGATAAGTATTTAAAGTATAGTTGAACAGGAGCATAGAGTGATGGTACTCATATGGAGAAATAATTTTCCGAGTGTCTTACGTTAAATGGATCTCYCCGAGTTTACAAACAGTGCGGCGGTGGTGTCACTTACAATTTATTATAGTTATAATATTTATAATACTAAGCAGGTGAGGTACTCGAAGCGCACTAATCCTCCGCGGAAGGCTACGACGACTGTAGGGTGAGCGTGACGGACGTGACCGCTTCGTTGAGCATGGCGACCACCTGATCGTGTCCCATGCCGTCCACCGGTACGCCACCGACGGCTAAGATCCTGTCGCCGCGGCACAGCCCGCTCGAGTCGGCCGCGCTGCCGCTGAACACCGTCTTGACGTAAATCGGCAGGTGGCCGTGACCGCCGACGACGCTGAACCCGAACCCGTCCATCCTACGTACCATCGTCACGGTGCGCGTATCTTCCATTGACGCCGCCGAGTCGCTGTTTGATCGTATAATAATAACAAAAATTAATAAATAAATAAAAATACGTCAATAATCGATGTAATGTCGTCCAATACCAATCATAACCATCATGKTACCTAGTACCTAGTCGATGCCGTCGATGGACAAGGTAGGTAAGTGTACATAAAATGTAAAAAATGTACAAATAATAGTCGGCGGCCGATATACCTAATTATAGTTGAGTATATATTGAGTGTACCTAATAAATAGGTTTAGGTGCCTAAATCGGCATGTTTTTTAACTGCAGGATTTTAAACCCCGTATGAGCGGGGGGGGGGGGGGGGGTCCGTAGATACTGGAACGATAAAATTCGACTTTTTAATGCATCTATAAGAGTAATAGTGAACATTTTGTCATTTGATATTTTTTACCGTTGACAAAAGATTGCGAAATATCTTTCGTGGAATGGTTCGAGTTGAGAACTGTCAATACTATAGAATTGGATATAATTCAGTCAAATAATATTGTAATTTTATAAAGTAAAATTATCAAGGGGCCATAAATCACTCTTAAAAAATATGTGTAGAACATAAAATTTATCACTTTATTATATCTACTTGTTTAACTTGTGAGCGAATTTAGCGAATTCAGTAGCTAATTTGAAAAAAAAACTGAAGAAAAGAAAATAGTCGTATAAATGTAAAAATAAGATGATAATATTTGCTAAAGGCAAAACCGTCTTTCTCTACGTCCAATAATTGGGCGGATTATGCATAATGTACATTTATCGGGATGTGACAGTTTTCAGAAGTGTTTATATTGAAATAATATTATATACATAGATTTACCTACGTACATAATTATTGTGGGCWGCGATGGTGCGTTTTAGACCKATTATGTTAAAGGTTAGCTAAACCGAAGAGTTTTCGTATATGATAATAATTATCCGATAAATTAAAAGTGTACCTATATATATCTCGTAATTTTTATGCAGACATTRGTCTAGTATTTTATTCGCGTATCTCAATAAGCACGTCGTCGTCGTTGTTCTATATTATAGTCACGGGACTGTTTTCGCGAAACAAAAATGACGAAATCCGCATTATCACGCAATCGCGCCGTACAGTTTTTAAACTATGACTACTTAGCTATATAATGTATAATGACGAATGACGCGATAATTCTGCATTTTAATATAATATAAGAACACCGCCGCCCCTAATCGATTACAATATGATGATGATGATAATAATATAATATACAAACGAATAGTGCTATATATATATAGGTATTGTCAGCTAAAAGCACACAAGGCCGACCGAAAAATTCGCGATCAGCAGCAACACATCGGCACAYATTGTAATGGATCCGTCCTACCGTCTCATTAAGCAACTACGACGCGCATGGTTATTAATTTATTATTACAATATGCAACGTGGCCCCGAAACACAACTGGCAATTAACCGCGAACAGTGCGCGTTTACGGCGGTTTAGCCACGCCAATGCGATAAAATGTAATAACGAGTAATAATCAATACATATAAATATGTGTAACGCAAATCATAAAATACAGAACAAAAAAAAAAAAAAACTTGAAAAAAACACAACGACCATAATCCATGCAGTCGTATATAAACAAAATATAAAAAATCATGTCGGGTGACAACGCACGCAAATAATGTTACATAATAGTAACGAGTTGATAAGTGACTCGTTTACTACACGCGTAGATATGTAATATTATTATAATATTATATCATCGGAATACAAGTTCTACTGTACAGCAATATTATATACAATACTATACACAACACGACTAAAGTAATTATATACATTTCTACTGCGAGCACTCCACAAAGGCTTTTTACTTACAGAATGTGAAAATCATTTTCTACACGTTTTCCCGGAAGTTAGCATGAAAAAATAACATTATATTGAGATCCTCGACGAGTACATGATATGTAATATCACATTTTTATTGTTATAAATTACAACGATATATATATTATTGTGACATGATTCCGATGAATTTGTTYCTTCGTTCTCAAGTCTGAAGACCGCTCAACGTTTGTCATCGTTCGCGATATGCATTCATATCTCATAGTATATATATTTATTGTAACTTATAATAATAAACACTATATTATAGGTATCAGCGGCGCAACTAGGACCTATTTTMGGTGGGGTTATTCAAATAAATAATTAGGTAATTAACAAAAAAAAAGACCACCGGTCCGATATATGGTGCTGAGTGCTGTGGCACCTGGACCTAAACGTATTAGTCCGTCGCTAATTCAAATTCCATTTTATTTGTATGAAATATAATTTAAATTCGTTTATAAAAGTATACAATGTGTAATCGGTATAGGTAAGTACTATACAATTTTTTATTGTTCGAGGTGGATACGTGAATTCTGGAAGGCCACCAGAGCAAGGGATTTCGACGATTAAAGATCATTAAATTAGTTCTAATAATAAAATATGWGTTGTTATATTTGTGAGCGGGAGATTGACCCACCACTGCTAATTGTTTTTATAATTGATTTGTTTCAATAAACTATGGTGGCCGGAGGAGAAGTATTGGCAACATAGTTTTTTCTCCAGTTCTTGTACCATAAGAGAGAAAAATAAGGTGGATACATGAAATAAATTATTTCTCTCC